GGTACACATAATTAATTATTCATCACAAAACCTAAATCACATTCATAATCTTCTTATGAACATTAACATGGTGTTACACTAATGATTTTCTCTAATGTATCAGGATTATAACAAGCTGCTTCTCTTCTTTTTCTCATGTAAGTTACTTTTTTACCAAATAAACATTCTGGATTCACCAAACCAGATGGAGTCCATAATTCATAATCACTACCAATTTCTCCAGGTTTATCTTAACCTATACAATTCCTTTAATGTAATTCATCTAAATCTAAAGTGGCAAGTAATCCCTATTCAGTTTTAATACCATTAGATTCTAATTAAATAGAACCATAAGCTATAAATCTAGTTCCTTTATTTTAAGGTTCAGTAATTATATTTTAGATTTCTGCCTTCTAATCTAAAAAATTAAATGGAGTCCATTCCATTCCACCATTCCAAGAAAAAACAATCTAATTAGTTGTTTCTTAATCTTTAGACATAACAACCAATCCTCCATGATTACTCATTTCATAAATATATGAACCTTTTTTTATTTCAATCCATGTTAAACCACCATCTCTACTTAAATAAGTGTTAACTTGATCTTATCTATAACTTAAATATTTTCCAATAGATCCTGTAGCTATTATTATACCAATTGAATTTGCTTGAGTATAAATAGGTGCAAATTAATAAAATGATTAACTAAGATGAATATGTAACTAACATTTATTACAATTAATTGGTTTCCCATCTGCATCAACTGTAGGTGGCTAATTATAAATTTAATAATTATACTTTTAATGGAACCCATTAACCACCTTTGTCAAATGTAATCCTTGTTTATTTGTATTTTTTCAAATCTTCATCTTTAAATCCATTTTATTAAGCATAGAATCCTTCTTCCATAGCTTCTAAGACTTGATGAGAATATATTTTAGCTTAATCTTCTGAATATACATTTGCTAAATATATTCCTTCTAATCCTTAAACCCTATAAAATTCTGCACTATTTTCTAATCT